GACCAGAAATACACAGGAGGAGCTGGCCAATGACCTGTAAAGAGTTGGGACCATCATTTCCAAAATTACTGTTGGTAAAACATTAAGACATCACGTTTAAAATCATGCATGGCAAGCAAGGTTGCCCTTCTTAAACCAGCACATGTCAAGGCTTGTCTTAAATCTGCCAATGACTATTTGGACGATCCAGAGTCATGGTATAAAGTCATGAGGTCAGATGAGACCAAATCTACAGGAAACGTTTGACTGGAATTGCAAAAACAGGGCTACTGTACCAAATATTAACATTGATTGTTTTGCCGGTGTTCAGATACTTATTTGGAGTTGTATCACACAAATAAATAGTTAAAAATTCATATATTGTGATTTTAGTTTTTTTTTTTATATATGTCTCTCACAGTGGACATGCATCTACAATAACAATTTCAGACCCCTTCATGATTTCTAAGTAGGAGAACTTGCAAAATAGTAGGTTGTTCAAATAATTATTTCCCTCACTCTGTGTTGGTTCACTGTTTATTGTCCATAATTTAGATCACTACATTTTCATTTTGTAATTTTTTTTTATTTTTGATCACTTTTTAATTTCAATTGCTGTGCAAATTTAACATTTCTTTTAATGGGGGTGCATCTAAGCTTTCATGCTCAATTGATATGATTTTCAACATTATTCATGCATAAAGAATTTAGAAATGAATTTTAAATGGAATGCCTAATTCTACGATTGCACTGCTCAAGGTAGCTGTACCTTTAAGTAGATCTGTTAGCTTTATTCGGATATTTTTTATGTTATTTTTTTTTTTAAAGAACTCAGTTCATCTATTTGTGGATCAAAGTTTATTTTTCCCATTTTTTTCCTCTGGTGTTTGAGGATGTGCTGCTGAAAGAATTTTTATCAATATCTTTTCAATTTGGAGCATTAACATCTCAAAAGCTAAAATAATACATTAACTACCTGCAAGTCCCAGCGAGTTGAAAAGGAGGCACCAAAGGATTTAGAACATGAAAAGCAAGAGAAGGATGAAATACAAGCCATCTCGACCATCAGTCATTGTGAGATCTTTTGGGAGAACAACAAAAAAAAAAACTCAAAGCCCTAATGGTGACCCAACCAGAATATTGGGATTGCAGAATTATGCATAAAACATTGCTGCAGAATCATATCCAGTGTCTGTTAGGCTTTCTGGCCATGTGAGTAGAAAGAGATTTAAAGAAGGATGGAAAACTTGAGGGAGGTGGTTTGGCCTTGTGAACAACAGATAGCAGGATCCAGGACATGTCCTCTCTGCAGCCCAGATATTGAAAG